AAAGGGCTTTTCCAATCTTAATGCTTCTGTGACTCCGTGACATTTCCCTGCTCCTATGAGCAAAAGGAACCAGGCACACCAAAGTACTGTGGAGCAGCAACAAGCATTGCAAGTGTGTGGAATCAGTGTTCCCATGTAGGACGGGTTGTAGGGGACAAGGCTCTCCCTTCTGCTGCTGTCACGGGTGGGAGGTGGCCCATCTGAAGGGCACAGAGGCAGAAGGGAGGGACCAAACCCTGGGGACAGATAGGACAAGGGGAAATGGGTTTAAACTCAAAGAGGGAGATTCAGACTGGAGAGAAGGAAGAAATTTTTCACGCTGAGGGTGGTGAGACCCTGGCCCAGGTTGCCCAGAGAGGTGGTAGAAGCCCCATCCCTGGAAACGTTCAAGGTCAGGTTGGACGGGGCTCTGAGCAACCTGATCTGGTTGAAGATGTCCCTGCTCACTGCAGGGGGGTTGGACTAGATGACCTGGAAAGGTCCCTTCCCACCCAAACCAGCCTGTGATTCCAGGATAAGCCCCTACCTTGTCCTCCAGCCGGTCCATCAGAGCCGGGGAGACGTGCCCCACCTTGCCCATCAGTGTCACCACGGTTCGGGTGCCCTCGAGCTCTGTCCAACGCAACTCCAGCTTCTTGATGACTTCATTCAGCAACTTGCTCTCCTTCCCTTGCTTGATGGCCAAGAACTCTGCCAGGGAAGCCAACTGCCTGAAGGTGAGACGCCGCAGTCTCCACAGCACCTCTTGCTCCACCGACTGCATCTCCTTCCTGTTACTGTCCATCCCCAGGGAGTAGAGGCTCTTCAGGAGGTTCACCAAAGTGTTATTCCACACTTGAGATATCTGAGCAGTGGAGAAAAAGAAAGGGAAAGGTTCTGATGAGAGACAGCATGAGAATATTCAGTTGCCAGTCACACCAAACACCGGGCTCTGTCTCTACAGAAAGAGCTGCACAGCAGCGAGGAGGAAGCAAGAGTCCTCCTCAGCCTGAGGACACCCAGCTGTCCCCCACCACAAGGTGACATCTCTCCTCCTCCTCCTCACAGGTGTCAGATCCACCCTGGAGCAACCCAGCACCCTGGTGAGGAAGAAGAACCTCAATATTGAAGCCACACACCAATTCCAGCAGCGTGGATGAGCCTTGAGGGGTTCTAGAGTCGGTTCTAGAGCTGCCATCGAGGTGGGGAACACTCTCAGCCCCACAGAAGGAAGTTACAGAGATTTGCTCCGAGCTGGGTATTTAATTTAGATTAATTTAAATATTTAACTAGACTTTACCCTTCTCTGGAGGCACTGAAGCTTCCTTGTGGTGCGGCTGTTAAACCAGGAGTGGTGGGAAATGAGAATCCAGGGGTAGAAACTTGGTCTTGGGGGGGAAACCTGCAGGATTCTGACTCACCTCAGCACCTCAGGTCAGATGAAATTTATCCTAAAAGCTCCAATTTCTCTCTAATTTCTCTCAAAAGAGGTTGGGCATGAATCCCACCAGCTGCTGGGAGAACCAGGACTTGCCCAGTCCCACTGAACATCTCTCTGCTTGGCCACTTTCCCCACTGGCAACCACTCAGTGTGAGGCAGAGCTCACGTTGGGGTTTTTTGAGGGCTTTTTGGGGGTTTTTGTTGTTGTTTTTGTTTTGTTTTTTGTACACACCAACAATCAGTTTTCCAGTCCCAAATCCTTCAGCATCCATCAGGGAACACCCAACACCTCTTTATTTCCAGCCCAACCTTTCCCCAGCTGTGTTCTGTAGCATTACAAGTTAATTCCAGTCTGAAAGATTCCCTTGATATTTAGAAAACCTGGGTGACAACATCCCAAAGGTACAAAGTGGTTTCAGGAACAAGGAGTGACTTTTCAGAGGGAGAGTGGAGGAGAGAAGCGAGGCAGAGCTGTGAGATGTTGAATTTTGAGCAGGAGGGATCATCTAGGTTTGAGGAAACAAAGGTTTTAACTCTCTGGCCTGTCTAAACTCCAGCATTTCCACCAGGATGGGAAATTCCTCAAGGTTCAGCACTTCAGGTACAAGAACAACCCAAGTGCTGCCAGGTTGCTCTGTTAAAATCTGAAAAAATTTAGGGATGCAGCTGAGAGGGAGCAGAGTTTGTGATTTACCTTGAGTTACCCAGAAAAATCACATTCCTCGTTGTTTTCAACCCCTCAAACACCCAAAACTCACCTCAGAATCTGTTAAAAGCTCTTTCCAAAAAAACTTTCCCTCCGTGCCAGCCTCACCTACTGGGTCTCATCGACACAAGGACATTGCAAACTGATAAATTTTAGGGTTTTTTGCATCAGAATGTCTTGGAATCTACATGGAATAACTGAATCTACTCTCCCATTCAGTTATCTAGGACTGGGGCTGCAATTACAGCTCGTTAGAGAAGGATAATTGTGTTTGTAAATGAGTTTGGTGGGTTTATATCTCAAAACCCTCGGCCACGTCCTTCTGGGCAGTTTCCTACACTTGGGTCACGCTGTCTCACTTCTCCCAGAGTCCATCCAGCACATCAGCTTGGCTGTGCCACCTCCAGGCTGGTCCCTTCCTCACCAAGCAGTGCCCAGGGACATGGATGTCCCTTTGATCCGTGGTGACAGTGACAGGAGCACGGAGATCAGCAGGAGCAGCAGCATTTTCACTCCACATACAGCAGCATGGAAGCGTTTGGGCTCAATGAGGCAATCTGAGGACAAATCCCACCTCTCTGATGTCCTTAAAACAGGTTTAAATCAAGTATAATGACTTTATTTTAAATCTGCCCCCTCCCTGGAAGTGTTCTCGGCCAGGCTGGATGAGGCTTTGAGCAACCTGGTCTAGTGGAAGGTGTCCCTGCTGCTGGCAGGGGGGTTGGGACTGGAGGAGCTTGAAGGTCCCTTCCAACCCAAACCAGTCTGGGATTTGATGATTTTAAGGAGCAAAGATGATGGATGAGGAGAAATAAGAAGCATCTGTAGAATGTTTGTACCTCCAGAGCTCTGCCAGGGACCAAATCAAGGCCAAGAGCAAGGTCCTGCATGTGGGTCGGGGTAATTCCCAGCACCAGCAGCAACTGGGGGGTGGATGGATTGAGAGCAGCTCTGTGGAGAAGGACCTGGGGGTGCTGGGGGGTGAAAAATGGGGGAGATTTTTCTTGTGGCCTTTTTAATACTTGGAAGGGGTTTATAAGAAAGTTGGGGACAGACTTTTCAGCAGGGCCTGTAGTGACAGGACAAGGGGAAATGGGTTTAAACTCAAAAAGGGGAGATTCAGACTGGAGAGAAGGAAGAAATTGTTATCTGAGGGTGGTGAGACACTGGCCCAGGTTGCCCAGAGAGGTGGTAGAAGCCCCATCCCTGGAAACATTCAAGCTCAGGAAAAGGTGCAGCTTTATTTTATTGAGAAAACTGAAAATTCCCAGGAGCACCAACCAGGCTGTGTTTAACAAGGATGATTTCTCCATTGAATTTTATCCCTGGTTCAAAAAGCAACAGTTTTAGATAGAAATAATCAAACTAGAGCTGATCATTTCACCTCCTGCTCCCCTCAACTTCCCATTTTTAACTGGGAAAGTTAAAAAAACCCAAGCAGCTGACTCTGTCAATTCAATCCCAGGAGCACCAGCTGCTTTCCACCTCAGTTTCTTTCATAGAATGGTTTGGGTTGGAGGGGCCCCTAAAGCTCCTCCAGTTCCACCCCCCCTGCCAGCAGCAGGGACACCTTCCACTAGACCAGGTTGCTCAAAGCCTCATCCAGCCTGGCCGAGAACACTTCCAGGGAGGGGGCATCTACAACTTCCTTGAGCAACCTGTTCCAGTGTCTGACCACCCTCACAGTGAAGAACTTCTTCCTAATATCTCATCTAAACCTCCCCTCTTTCAGCTTAAACCCATTTCCCCTTGTTTTGTCATTAACTGCCCTTAATTGCCTCTGGGTAATTAAAGTGGGCATTAACCTTCCCCACTTTACAACTCTTTGTGTGGTGAGGAAGCAACCCACCTGGGAACTCCACCTCAATTTCTTTCCCTTCCACCTCAAAACTCCTTGTGTGGTGAGGAAGGAGCTCACCTGGGAATTCCACCTCAATTTCTTCCCCTTCCACCTCAAAACTCCTTGTGTGGTGAGGAAGGAGCTCACCTGGGAATTCCACCTCAATTTCTTCCCCTTCCACCTCAAAACTCCTTGTGTGGTGAGGAAGGAGCTCACCTGGGAATCCATGATGCTGATGAGGTGCTGGAAACGTTCATCCCGTAGAATATTCTCAGTTTCCAGTTTGTTTTCAGCAGCCAGGCGGGACAGTTGAGTGATGATGAGAGAAGCTTGGTTGCTGTTCAGAGCATGGAGCTGACTGAGCTGGAAGAGTTCCTGAGGACTCACAGCTGTTTCAATCAGCTGTCCCATCACTTTGTACTCTGGATTTCTTCCCTCTTCCACCTGCTCTTTGATGGAGAATCCATCTGCCCTGCTGGGAGGGCTGGAGGTGTGAAATAAAGCGGGAGGTGTTGGAGGTAAAGCTCTCATCATGGTCATTTTCCCAGTTGGCACCAGTAAAGAAGCTGGGAAAGCTGAGGGAGGGGAGATGAAGGTGGTGAAGTGCTGCCAGCAGCAGCGTCGCACCAAGCGGGCTGCCATGGTGGGAGGGAAGGAGGGAGGGAGGTGAGGGGGTGGGAAGAGGTGGGAGGTCAGTGCTGCATCTCAGAAACTCTGCAAAAGGAAAAGAAAACACGAATGGGAGGGAGAATTTCACAGATAAGGGATGAGACAGCCAATTTCTGGTAATTTTTTATTTTTAATTTATTTTTGGGTTGTTTTGACTGAAATTGGGTGTCAAGAGGCAATTAAAAGCTTTTTAATGATTGCCACAATCAGTGTTTCCCTGCTGGGGCCAACCCCCTCCCCCCCAGAAC